TACTCAAGTTTCCTCCTATACTTCAACCATTACCTATCATTTCCACAGGTCTTTCTCTCCCTAGTCCACAATGTAACTGCTTTTGAGAAGTCCCTGCTTATTTTAAGCACTTGCCTTATGATTCTGAATCATACTGAGAAAACTGCATAATAGAGGAAATAAAGCCTCCTAACTTTAGATTCCTGAACTCCAACGAAGTTAAGTGACTAAAGCAGTAAGTGTAATTTGTGCCCCTAGACATCTAGTTCTGGAATAATTCCATCAGGAACCAAGGAAAGGATGAGCTATTTTGTTTCATAAGCATATTCAACCATATGATGCTGTCTAAAATCTGGATTAAGGCTGACATAATACATAAAAGTGAAAATGTTTCCGTACTTAAGCCACTATTAAATGGTAAATCAGATGTATGTTGATTAAAATAAGAATACTACAGCTACTTTTCGACACTCATGGTGGTAGACAGAATTGCTGTTTCTACAGTAGAGACAGCACATACACAAAGCATATAGATTTAATGTTCATTCTACATCCCAGAAAGTTTTAGCCAAGTGGTGGTTTTAATTTTCGTATTTCAAAGAATCTTACCATAAATTCTTACTTCAGTTTTTTTCATACGCTCATAAAGAAACAAAAGACACCTTCTTTCTTCATGACAGGATATTAACTTTTCAGAAGCGATAGTGGCTACAGTTACCATCCTGAAAGGTACAGCAATTCAATTAGAATAGAATTAAAGCTTCTGATAATAGTCACTACATTTGGAGTTAATGCATATAACTGAATCAAGAGTAAAAAAAGTCCCATTCACCCTACCTAGAGCCCATGGCTCTATGCATTCCAATTTTATTCAGTGCATTAATGTGCTGGAACTTTTGCTTTCACCAGTTAGTAATAGTTTCTCTTGCTTCTCATAGTAAGAATAAAAGCTGCTCAAAGCTGTCACTGTTCTGTACTCCAGAACAGTTGCATAATTACTGATTATCGATAGTGAGTCATATTTGTTGCAGAGCAGGGAAAGCCAAAGCGAACGTCAACTCCGCAGTGAAGAAAAGTACTAAGATAACATTCAGGAGGAACACATTTATAAATATCTTGAAAGTGGAAGCAAGGTTAAATTTAGTTTGAGATGGCACAGAGGCAGCTCACAGTTTTGTTATGTAACCTTTAACTTGCAGTTATCTGCTGACAGAAAGCAGGACAGCATTGTCTGAAGAAGGTCTGAAGAACACTCTGGAAGAGAGCAAGAAAACCTAGAATTCAAAGTGATAAAAAGCAAGACAAGTCAACTTTTGGGTACAGCTCATTAAAAATAAGAGCAAGTAATTCACATCAGCTTCACAGGAACCATTTTACAGTTTCTAGAGATTTACTCACACAGTGAATGTCACCAGGCTAAACAAAATAAATTGCACATATTTCAGCACAAAAAAGACTGACAAACAGCAGGAGTATACTTTAAAGCAATTTACTTACATTTCTCCAGGTAGCCATTCTGACTGTTCTTCATTTCTGCTTTAAAGCCTGCTCAGCAGATGGCGAAAGATGTAAAAATACGATGAAAAAGTTATACTTTTCAGCCCTGCAAAGGGTACTTCTCAGATCGAGGTTACCTCTATGAACCTGTCCTTTGTTTTTGAACAGATTACAACATAATACTGTATTATGAAAAAAGGCCAAAATGTTTAACAGCACAACACGTGTAAGGGGATAACACCTTAAAACCTTATGTTCCTTGCTTCTGATTTCGAATCAACTGAAGAGACCAACAAAACATCTGTATTGAGCAGTTTAAGCCTTAAAGTTAAATAAAAGACAATTTATGCTTTAAAGCTGCTAGACCCCAAACCACAGCTTACCAGATCATGCATGATATCTAGCACTGTGCTCTTGATAAAAGGAGCAATCTGAAGATTCCAAGAAATTATGGTTAAAAAGAAACACTCTCCTCCCCCCCCAAAACAAAAAGAACAAACCAAAACCAAGCCCTTTCAGTGATGCACTAACTGAATGCTACCTTTTCCTCCCTCACCACAAAATGTATATGCTAACAACAGCTTTAAGTTGCTTGCAATTCCTTGAAATATTATCCCAAAAGCAACTGGAAAACTGCAGTACCCTCTTAAACCATACGAAAAAGCACCCAGGTATTTAAGCAAATTTGAAACTAATGCTAGCAATGAATGACAGCAAGGAGAAAACTAGCTGACATACAAGGAAGTCACCATGACCAAGTATACCTCAGCCTGTGCTTTGATATCACCCCATGGACCTTAAGATTGTGAAGGTTTTGTTTGCTGGGTTTGTTTGGGGTTTTCTTGGTGGATGTTTTCTGTTCTGTGACTGGGAAGGTATTTGTTTTTCAAAATGCAGTACCAGTCACTAACTTGATTGTCAAAGTTCCTCACAAAGAGCATGTTCACATATATTGAGATGGCATTTACATGATACAATTCTTTTCCACAAATCAAGTTGAAAACACACAAAAATACAATAAACACTGTAACACCACTTGCAAGGGATTTGTTTATTTTTGGTTTACAAACAAAGGCACCCAATATTTCTGTTTATGTCTTATAAAAGCTCACGGATTTAGCATTTGTTTCCAAACATTTGTTCCTACAGCAGAGAAAAACATTACAGGAAAACATACTTTTTTTTTCCTGGTCCCAAATTTAAATACCAGTTACTGTTAAGAGATCCTGTTGTTTCAGACTGCTCTTCTTCCTATTTAACCAACTGGAATATCTGCTGTAACTTGCTAGTCATTACAGTGAGTCTAGTTTACTGTATCAAAACACAGTTCCCATATATTTTTGATCAACATCCATTATGTGCAAACACTGGTATGAAGAACTGCAAGAGCACAGGGTTCCGATGTGGAAGAGACCCCAGTACTTTCAGATAGAACTTCACAGACTGACAAAACTAACGTAACAAACATGACGCTGAATCTACTGTTAGTTGAACAGGACGACTGATGAATTTGTGCAAGATACCAGTAGTGCACAGAACCATGGTCTCTAAGGAGGGAAACAACTGGGGTTTTAAATTGGCAAATGTTTAAAGAGCAGAGGCTAAATATCCGTATGTTTAAAGCAATCCTTTTCTTTGTTATTTATTCAAAAGAATAGATTTCTAAGCAGTGTTCCGACCAGAAAGAACCAGTCCATTGGCTTCATAGTTCTCAGTATTAACAAATCAACATTAAGAGTATTGTGTTTAATAGTTATAAACAACCAAAATTCATACGTGAATTGCTTCACAGACTCATTTTTCAGAATATGATGTATTTATCTTTTGCAAACTTCAGCCACATGCCAACATGGGACAAAGGGTGTCAGTGGATAGTAGGCACCTCTGGAAAAAGAGTCTACAACTCAGGAATGCTTAAGCATACTTTCAGGTCTAGTAAAATACTTGGGGAGGCAACTAAAAATGCAATACACCTAATGTATTTGTTAAAGCGTAACATCTTCAATCACAGAAGCCATAATTCAGCCAGAGTCAGAGGTCTCTCACACAAGGTGTGGTCCTAGACCATTTAGGCTTTTCATCACTAGCTTTATATATACACAGGTAACTTTAAAAAGGAATTACAGCTTAACTACTTACTACAGAATACTTAGCTTCAACAAGGAAGCCATTTATCTTTTCAAAAAGAGATATACATCTGCACGAAAGGTGTTCTTTTTAAAGTAAGAGTTTTCACAAGAATAGCAAAATAAGTTCTTTACATAATTCAAATCAGACAAAAAAAAAAAAAAAACCAAAACAACTACCAAGGGCAAGTAAAATGTAGCTCTTGTGTAATTAAGTCTTTATTTGCCTTTCCAAGCAGATTCAAGACATATTCATCAGTATAAACCGATTTTAATGAACAAGCACTGGGCAAGGGTGCCATTCAGTGTGCGAGTTAAGAGGAACATTACAGTATTCTCAGAATTCTGTGCAACCAAAATTTAAAGGGATCATCATATATTGCCTTAAATAAGGTTTCAATCTTATCTTACAACTTGCTAGTTTGCTTTTGTTTTTTAAACTATCTTCCCTACTGAAAGAAAGTAACATGCAGAAAAAATCCCCCAGGTTTCTTCATAATTAAACGTAGTCGTTTCAGTTAAAATTTTCATTTTTAAGCAAGGTGCATCTTGCTCTGCATGCCCAGTGAAACGAGTTTTTATTGGGGCAGGGATGCGGAAGTGTGCTTACACATTGGTGTTGTCCATGCATCAAATTTCACAGCTCGGAGATTTAAAAATTATTAATTCATGGAGTATTTGCTAACGTTGCTTAGAATTTAAAAACAGGTATACCTCAATGAAAGCCTATAGTTTGTCCAACTACTATTACCAGTAATATAAATAGCAACTAAGCATAATAAATCCCTTTCAAATACCTTTTGAAGTCAGAAGTGTAACAATCAAATGCTGGCTCTGTGTTGCCAATAAGAATCATTAAAAAAACCCAAAAGGGCAGTCAATGACTTCGGTTTTGTCTCCCCCCACACACACACACCTCCTGTATCCCATCCCCCCCTGGGGTTATGTTTCCTTTTATCTACTCAATGATAGGATCAATTCTGCTTTCAGAGAAGCAGATTGCTCATGCTGACATAAATGTAGGTTAGACGCAGCCAGTTTCAAGCACAGAACTGAATCATCAAGTGTATTCTGAAGACCAGACTGGACAAAAGGCCTTTCAGTAATTAAGGAAGGTTGGATGTTTTGATTTGTTTTTCTTTTAAAGCCAAACAGGCACCATTGTTGCATCCTTACTTTGATAAGAAAGGAAGAAGTGGCAAAAAGACAAGTTATGAAAGTCCTCAATTTTTTTTTTTGCCAGGAGATCTACCATCATTTATATGATTTTGCAACTTTCAAAACTCTTTGTAATTTAGAAGAATTTCAAATAAACATGTTTACAGCAACTAGCAACTAAGTCAGTATTTATCTTGCTCAACGTGGAGTAAAACTTAGAAGAAAAAAAATCATGTTAAGGCAGATTTCAATCAAACACGTTCCAAATTGCACAGTTACATTGGTCAGCAGTCTAAAATGTTTCCCCAGGTCAAAGAGTTAAAGTTATTTAAATGCTTGTCTCATGCCAATTCATCCTGGCACTTGACCATTTTATTTTCTGTTTCCAGGAAGATAACACGACTAACATTACATATACCATACCGTATATTTTGCACTCCAATTTAAGATGAAATTATGCTTTTACAAAATGTGAGATGACTACATGTTACAGGCTTTGTGCAGTTAGACCACCGTATGCATAGATGTCCTAATGCTAAATTCTCTTCTTCAGTATCTCATAGTACTGGAGGCTCTGAAGTAGGAGAGGAACTTGTAACACAGACTAACCACAAAGTACCAGATATTTCTTGCCATTTGTGATCTTGCAATAAAGATACGCCAGATCAGGATCACAAGAATTGTATTGAAGCCATAGCGTATATTCCTTAACCTAAAGAGGAGGGGGGGAAAAATGAAATCATTAAAAGCCAAGGTACCAAGACTTGCAGCAAAAAAAGAACACTCAAAAATTAACTTCTAATGGAGAATTAAACTTGTTCATCTATTCATCTCAAAATGTATTATGAGTGGTATTAACTGAATGATGGGAGTAAGCTGGTAAGCGAAGGATCAGAGAAGGCTTTTCTGCAGTTCACTGCTGAAAAGTGAAACACACGCTAACTAGAAACAGAGCCAGCGCTGCAGCTAACCACAGGTACTTCTGCTTTAAAGCTGGTTGGAAAAGAACTCTTAAAGCCAAGGTCACATACACACACACACACACACACACACAGAGTAACTTACCTATAGAAGGCTGCCATCCACCCCAAAACCACAGACATACTTAACACTCTGAACTTCCCTCCTCCCCTCCAGATGTAAGACTTGATATATATGTAGAAGTAACTCCAACTGTCACTGACACCACACAAAAACATCATAGGATTTTTCTATCCACAGAGACCAGAGTCTTCCCTGCAATTTTAAACTCATTCCTTCTCAGGGAACTATATTTAAAAGATTAGGAAAAACCAAGTGTTCTTTTACGGCAACTCTGACTTTTAGTAATAATCTCATGTGAAAAGATGGAAGCTTCAAGACAAAGAGCAACCACACTTTGCTCTGATTTCTCAAAACTGAAGCAATCTCTTTGGTTCAGTAGATTATGACCATTTGTATTTTAGAGACAGCTCTTTTTAAGGAAATACTCACTGCCTTATCTTGGTTTACAGGTAGGCTGGCTGTTACTATAGCCAGACTTCCATCTATATACCTCCTTTGTAGAAAAAAAAGCAGTCTAAATTTCTGTATTACAAAAGTAAAGCTCACTTTTCTATTTGAGAAAAAATTTCACCCTAGTAGTTTTGTAGAGAAGCCAGGTCCCCTAGGCTGCCACATGTGGCTAATGTTGAAGCCGTGGACTTCAACATCAACAGAGTTAAAAGCTAGATGGTAACAGAAGAGACCAAATACCTCAGAGTAAATATAGGTTAGAATCTAAACCTTCTGCAAAAATAATCCACTTAGTATAAAGTGAGAGCTGAGGATAACCAGACACTGTTCAAATACAAGGCTATTTCTCATGTTATTTTTGGTACGCTCCTTTGCACAGAGAAGGTAAACTGCATGGTAAATATTATGCATTTTTTAACAGCATCTAAATAAACTTAAAAAAGCAAAACCAGAAGGGGACACCTCCTCAGCTATTCCCACCATCATCACAGATTACCATCTTCCAAAAGTATTTGAGACCGTAACATATCATGCCAAACCAATCTACAACTGCAAATCCTTGTCTTTAGAAGAAGGACACAAGTAATGTCTTAGATCACTTCTCTTTGTGCTATCAGGATAGCAGATGTGAGGTAGTACTGCACAACAAGAATCATCACTTTTGTCTCTCTAATAAAATAAAATGTCTACAGCTATCTTTATGAATAAAACAAGGACAACTGTGCCAGTAATACTCCAGGCAGTAACAGCCACAGAGAAAGTGCTAAGAGAAGTCATCTCAGAGCACCAAAATCTAAGTTTCCAGCTTGGAGGTGGAGAGTCCATGACTATTTACTCACCTGCTTCAAAAGATCTCATTCCCAGAAGAAACAACCATTGTTCTTCCTAAACCTCCCTAACTAAACAAGCCATTCTGACTTTGAGTTATATGTACCTTTGTAACTTTCAAAAGATACTTGGGTAAAATCAGAAATCCGGATTGCAGCAGACACTAGTCATCAGAGCTACAACTATAATCCCAGACTAATACTATAACTATTAATACTGAGAGCAACTCAGGAGTGACAAATAGAACAAGGAAGGTGACACCTGACTTCCTCAGAAAATGCTTCAGGCCACTGGACTGAAACAGAAAAATTCTAAAAGACCTAAGCAGGTGCTATAAAGAACAACTAAGTTGTAACACGGAAAAATAAAACTTGACAAGGGTTGGAAAACACAAAATATAAATGAAGAAAAATATAAATTTACACTTACTTATTCAAGTGTTTCCTAGCTGCGGGAAGGCCAGACATTTCTTCATTCAGCACGTATTTCTTCGTTCCCATGCAGTAATTTTCCATGTATTCTGCCCAATGTAGTTGTCGTACATCAAAATTAAACACCTGCATAAAAGAAAAGCTTTCAGCATTAGTTGCCTAAAAATTCAGTTGCTATATATAGTAACTTAAAGGAAAAGGAAAAACGCTTTTCTACCAGATAACTCAAATTTGTCTTTGATGCAAAACAGTTATCATTTCCTTATTCACAAGATTTATATCCCATTTCTGACACAGCCACCAGCTTCTCTTTCAAATTTCAACCATTTCATGTCTTATTTTCCTCCTCAGTGGTAGTATTCTTCCCTCCACTTTGAAGTGTGCTGCTTTCCCATTTCATCTGTATGTAAGGAATTCCACTCTAGAAATAACTTTCTATTACGTTGTTTCCATTTAAACAAGATAGTTCTACTATGCTATAACGACTGCTCTCTGCCAAGTTCACTCATAAATGCAGAGGGTTTTTAGTTGTGCTTGTAGTTATACAGCTGTAGTTTAAAAAGAACCATTTGAGCATCTTTCTCAGGAGATATAAATCCAATAAAATGACTTGATTTTTGGAAACTACGGTGAATACACGTCTGACTTTTTTTTGTTACGTTTTCTCTCCCCTGTCCTGTCAAGGAGGGAGAATTGTACTACACCTTTAAGGTCAACCCACCACAGAGGTGTTTGATAAATACAGTACAAAAATAGAGGCTTACATAGACAGTCAACCACACACAGTGGGAAGACTTAAGGTTTTTTCATCCAAGCTATTTCATTCACTCTTACTCAGACCCTGCACTCAGTTTTTCTTCTTCCTCAACATCCTCCAGAAGTTTTCTGTCATCCTGCTTCCATTACACTTCTCCCCCTTCATGGGGCAGTTTTAGTCACACAGCAAAAGCATGCTTCAGAAAGAAGTGACAGAATTTACACCCAGATTTCTTTGAATACACATGGCTTTCTGGCCAAACCATAAGAAGGGTATATAAAATCTGTTACCAGTTTAAAAACAAGCAAGAAAGTCCCTCAAAACTCACCTCCTGTTTCCTCAGAAGAGATTAACTGAACTAAAGCCTTGTTTTATTCATGATGTAGGTAAAACTAACAGTTTTACATACGGGCAACGCCACATCACATGATCAGGCAACTCCAAAGACAACCATCTTTTATACCAGGCCTCCTTCCAGGGTGTCCTGCCTTTCCTTGTCTCTGATCACATCACTGAGCTAGCATATAACACAGCCCTGCTACAACCAAAAGAACATGACAGGAATCTCTAGTGCTGAGTTAGTACTAGGGTTAGCTCCACAGTACAGTAAGCAGCAGTACCAAAAGATGTCCTTTTTCAATCTTGAATAAATGAGCTTATACTTCACTTTCAGTCACCATGCCCACATCACACAGCTACTTGCCTTTTTGTCTTCGGGGCTTAGCTGGTTCATTAGCATAGTCATGTTTTCAGTATTCCAGATCCAAGAATTGCTTGTAAAGTATTCTAACAACATCATGGCCTTATGAAGACGTGTTATTGTTTTCATCATCCTACAGTCCAAGGCATGGAATGTATAGGTTACATGGTGGTAAAGATTAGCTCAAACAAGAACAATAGACAGTAAGATTGTAAATTTTTTTACCCTCCAACCCCACACCCCTATGTAAACAATACCCCATCTTGCTCTGTACCCAAAGCATGTTATATTCCATCAATAGGATATTTCTGCATATTACTGAAGTGGATCTTGCCTGTCCAATCTTTATACAGAATCAGAAATTACGGGACAGTCCTTTTTTCTTAATCCTACTTCCAACTGTAATAGAAAGTTACCATCTCTTTTTTTTTATTTCCCCTAGGAAAGAAAACAACTATCTTCTGTTGGTAACTCTTAGTGCTGCACACGCAGAACACTCTTCCCTTCAGTATACTGGAATATCCAGTACTGAACAATACAACAGTACTGAACAATTTGACTTGACAAGAGTTCGACTACACAGTGCAGAACATATAGACATGACAACTTTAAGCAAGGGAATAAGTTTCCCTGATCATTTTGAACACTGTGCAAGATGAGACACCTAACAAACCAAAACTGGTTTATTATGGTCACTAAGAGATCAAGGCTTAAAACCACCAGAAATACAGCTTAGGCTCTTAACCCGCTGCTTCTTCAGCAAAGGGCACGAAAACATTTAAGAGCACAGATAGACAATAGCAGTTCCTAATAGTTACGTGATCAGTTCTGCCTTATTTCCAAATATGCAGAAATACCTTCCATCATACCTTATTACGCAGAGGAAGCAACTCTTTAAAACCATCACTTGGAGTACAGAAAAATTATGTTGTAAGGATCAATCTGGGCAGTCTGATCAAAGAGAAACTTATCTGAAGCGGATCCAAAAAACATGAGTCATCCAGCTGCTCAGATGCAAAGTCCCCGCATTTATGACGAGGCAATTGTTTCCGGTGTTACAGTGCTAGAGACAGCCACTCAACTTCATTAAAGTTAGCACCATGTAACTTAATGCTATTACATTCTTGCTTTGGGTGCTCAAGGTAGTTCCATCTCACAGATCTGCTTCCAATTTGATCCTTACAGCAGGACACACTGGCCATTTTAAGCATAGTCAGGGGGGAAGAGAGGGAAAACAAGGAAAGCAGAAAAACCCAGCACTAACAAGAAATAGCTTTCCAAAGGTAGATTTTGTTCAGGGAGGGTCATAGAAGCAACGTAAAACACCAATTTTTCTCTGAAAGCTGCCTTGGTGCATTCTTGTGCATACCTGTAGAAGGGATATAGCACATTGTCCCAGAAACACTAGTCTAAAGGAAGTACTGTGCATCACACTAGTGTCTCCTACTGTCACTAATGGCTGGCATCTCAGTATCTAAAGGAATATCAAAACTTCCTCTTCTCATGAAGTAACAGAAGCTGCAGAGACCACTGAAGAAGTAAAATATAGCTAAAGCACAAATGGTTTTCCTTAACCCCATAGGAACCTATCTAGAGTAATTCAGAATTGTGTTATAATTTTAGACCACCAGCTAATTTTATTAGTAGACATTCCTAGATGCTTTCAAACACCTGCCCTTAGTTTCACCAGTTGGGCAAGGTAGCAACAGCGGAAGCCAAGCTGAACCACAGTTTCTCCAATTGAAAAATAATTAGGAATACAGACTGTACATTCAAAACATATCCTGCACTAAAAAGAATAAACTGAAATTAAAAAACCCATATCATTATTTAGGTCAAAAAATTCAGAAAAGAACTCAAAACTTGGAAAGCAAAGGTCCCACTGGTCAGTTAAGCCAGAAAAACCTCACAGCAGAATGGCCTGGATAAAAACAGTGCCAAACAGGAAAACAGTGGCTAAGTACTTAGACTTTTTGCACAGGTCTGTCCACTGACAGTCTTAAGATTATTTAACTTAGCTGTTAACTTGTACCTGCCAAATTTTTGTTCTTAAGGTAAACTGGAAGAGCAGCAAGTTTTAGACTGCTACAGTTGAGGAAAACTTGTGCCCCTGCAAATACTAAACGGTGCAAATTAGTATCTGAATAGACAAATGCAGATTTTGAGCTTGCAGCTGGCCACTGACATTCATTTTAGCTCTTTTCTGTGAAGAAAAACTAAACTAAATTTGAACTAATATAAAGACTAACCTCTGCTGGGAATCTTGCTGTCCCTCCTTATGGATACAGTTTTAGAACGTAGCTAAGCTGATTAAGACACAAAATTTTTAAACATCAAGTGGCTAAAAGGAGTCCTTCTACCTCAGCTGTAGGTTCCCCCCACACACACCCCCAAATCAAACTGGATTTAGTGACTGGCCACAGAACTGCTGATTAAATTCTGTCATTTTTTTTTTCCCCCTCTCCATAAGATCGATGTATCAGTGTCGTGGTTCAAGCCCAGCCGGCAACTTGGAACCACGCAGCCGCTCACTCACTCCCCCCGCTCCCGGAGGGATGGGGAGGAGAATCGGAGGAATGTAACTCCCACGGGTTGAGATAACAGCTCTCCAGTAACTAAGGTATAATACAAACCACTGCTGCTACCAATAATAATGATAAGAGGAATAACAAGGGGAGAGGACACAACCGCTCACCACCCGCCGACCGATACCCAGCCGGACCCGAGCAGCGATCTGGGCCTTCCGGGTGACTCCCCCCAGTTTCTATACTGGGCATGACGTGCTGTGGTATGGAATAGCCCTTTGGCCAGTTTGGGTCAGGTGTCCTGTCTCTGCTTCCTCCCGGCTTCCCCTCCTCCCTGGCAGAGCATGAGACTGAGAAAGTCCTTGCTCAGAGTAAACATCACTGAGCAACAACTAAAACCATCGGTGTTATCAGCGTTGTTCCCAGACTGAACGTCACAAACACAGCACTGCACCAGCTACTAAGGAGGAGAAAAAATGACTGATGGAGCTGAACCCAGGACAATCAGCCAAAAGAATCACGTCTCCACACTCTCTCAACTGCTAAATCAATTACAGACTTGGCAGAAGAGGACTGACTTTCTTGGTGACAGCTTGTTATCTGCACCAAATCAACATGAAACTATACTTTTCTTTTTTTTGAGAACTAGTAAGGTGACAGACTTATTTCAGAAATATCAACACTGGGTGTCATTTAGTGGACACTGGTGTAGCTTTGGCAGACTAAGCTTCATAAACTTCAATAGCACCATATTCCTCCTCCAAATGGGAATGCATGCAACTCTAAGCATGAGCACACGTTATCGAACTCTCTCTCGAAACCTGAAGATTTGAAACACACATTTCACAGGTTGTTCCAGGGAAAGCCACTGGATACAAGTCATAAATATCAAAGCTATTTATAACCAGTAAGTGTAATATCAAACACTGCATCACTTCTTCATAAGATAAAGACCTGCTGATCATCAAAAACTGAACCTTAGCAGCAGTCAGCAGGTCAGTGTGACAGCACCAAAGACTTTTACCTAGATACTAGGCAAAATTCTGCCTCTACCAGACAGTCCTTACTGCCACTGACATAAAATACAGCAGTTTGAGAGGCACATCACATGAATTAAAGTCTTAAGCAATAGTTAATTCAGTTACAGAAACATGCCCACGTAATTACTGATGCCAGACAAATGAAAGTGACCTGCCTATAGGCTATGACTGCATTTTGAAGAAGTCTTACATACAACCTGTTGTCTCCAGGCTAACAACAGTTTTGATGCTAAATGCAGAGTGATCCTTCAGTGGATCTACAGGCTGCCAATCTGTAAGTCTCTGCATAAGCAGTAGAGATAGGTTTGGGTTTTTCTTGAAGATTCACCTAAAATACTTAAAAACAAGCTTTCAGACTCATCTTCATTCAGATTTTCATTTGGCTGTAAATTTTGTACTACCAGAATTCCTATCTTGCCAGCAGCTCTGTGGCTCCTTTAAGTGCATAACCTAAGAGTGCTTCCAAAAGGAAAAAGCATATTAATCTATTTAATAAAAGTCTACTATATACTCGTTTCTGGTTTCTAAGAAAGTAACTATGAAAGGTGCTTTATATTAAGTTTTAAGCAGCTTTAAATTGAAGTGACAGGTAACCAATTATGCCTTTACACCTCATACATGAACCACACCTTTCCTTTTGCTTTTTAAGGAAGAGGAACAGAACGTGAATTGCTGGAGAAATCCATGAACTACAAATTTAAGTATTTCATGCCACATTCTGTTCTTCTAGTAAATACACCCCACTGCTGGGAGTATAGTTAGAGGTTTTTAGATTTGAAATATATGGGAGTGGTTTTAAATAACATGATTTTGTTGTGCTACACTCTATGCAAAGTTAAAAGTAAGATCTACAACTAATATTAAAAGCAATCAGAAAATCAGTAAGCTTTGCTATGCAATTACCTGTATACATGGCAAGCAACTGACAATACTCTCCTTAAACTTGGATGTTAAGGATTATCACCACTATTTCTGTAACTGTACAATGCTGTAACAGTATTAAGTATTTAGTACAAAATATTAAATCTTCATTATGACAATCCTTATTGTATGTTATAAATTTCAGAAGATATTATATGCATTATTTCTTCCTTCCCTTTCCTCAACTGTTAATATTATTAGAGAATTGTGAAATTCAAGAAACTTAAATGATAAAAAAAAAAAGCAGAACTATTTCCAACTCACCAAAAACATTGCTTCCACAAGTAATGTGCAAAAGAATGATTTCATACTGCAGAAAGTTGTCAGAAAGTTTTCAAAACACCCTGAACAGGAAGACTTTATTATCAGCATAATCCTTCAGTTCTGAAGAGTCACAGGCCCAACCTACTTCTTCCACTTAAGAAATTTCTTATTCAGTTGCAGCACAATATCCTGACAGTACGACAACAGTGCAGTTAAACCCACTCAGTAATTTCATTTCTTAGAGTTCTTCCTACATTGTACACAACCACCTCATCTTCAGACTCAGCACGGAGAGGGCAGGCTAGTGACCATGTGATGTCAAGTTAGAGTATTTGAAATTTGTGCTGATACTACATTTTTACTATACTGCTCAAATCTTTCTGCTAAATCATGATGGAAAAGGTCGTATTTTAGATTACACCAGCCCTTCTTCACTCAGAACAGCATTATATTGAGTTTAAGAATTGCTACTAGCATTTCCAAGTCTTCAGAGTACATGCTACCTGGTAACTAAAACCATTCTGCCAGTTGGACAGAATGACCACAGCAACGGTAGTACATCCCTATCCCTTGATTGTCTCCAATCCATCAGTTAAAGCAGCTTTCAAAGTTCTCCGCATCAGAAGACTAGAAAAATAAAGTAGGAAAGGTCTGTCTCAAATTTATTCTATTACTAAAGCCCACTACGGTTTAACAGTGCATGTCTTGCTTGCATCTATGTATTTACTTTCTTCTGCTGCTCTTACTGCAGGCTCCCATCTTTTAAATGCTTGAAGGAAAAAGAAAAAAAACAAACACCGAAATTATAATGAAAGGTACCTTCCTGTAAGTGGGCTGAGCATCAAAAGCTTTTCTTTCAAGAGCCTTTGAGCAACCTTTGTAACTGAACAATAGCTTGCTTTAGTTGAATCCACCACATATCCTCCAAACTAAAAATCTTGTGCATGATAGAAAACTCACCCACTCACTGTTATATTAAACTAATTAGAAATAAGCTTAATAGTAATAATTCATAGGCTATAAAATACATATGTAATGTCACCAATTGTACTGGTACTGATAGAGTCCTAAATTCCATCACTGGACATCAAGCAAGAACTCCAGGAAAAGCAAAAACAAGACTCAACATTTAGAGTGTTAGCAGCATTCTAAACAACATGATTATTCTCAGCCTTGTTTTACTGCTACTAGTCAAATACTTAAAAGACTGAACACCTTTTAAAGACTGACGAGATTCTGGAAGCTCTACTTCCTAACCATCTGAAAGACAGTAGGGTTGGCATTTATATTGTAACTGGTTTTAGTGATTGATGGTGGATTGACGTGGGCTGATGGTGATTGATGGTGGAATTCCAACATCTGTTGGAATTTCTTCATCTTTTATTAAGAATAACTTAAAATTACAAAACAACCTAAAAGCTAGGAACTTGTACATTCAATACCTTCTTTTGATCTGAAAAGCTTACACCTTCTGAATGTGAGAAGGTAAGTATACTGCCACAGCCTCCTGCCACTACTGTAGCTGTATGACACTATTGAGTCAGATTGGAACAACAGAACCCAAGGCACTTTTAGAAGTTTTCTCCTACAAACCTGCTTACATGGCTTCCTTCTACCGATCCAGTGCCAAGCCTGTTACAGAACTTTTCCCCTCCTTGTACAACTGGCCTAAACTACAGGACAGCAAATGAATACTCACTTGTGTTCATACACTATCACCACAGTGGAGATTTTATAGAATCTGAAGAGAAATACTTTTGAAAATACATGCCATGACTTAAGATCATATGGCTTGGCAAATCTGAAACAAATTGAAGTGACATCTTTTATTCCTTCTACATAATTTAATGTAGCCTATTTAACAGAGCTATGTAATTTTCACCACTGAAGAAGTTAGCCAGATGCTAGTGTAAATCTTATAAACTGAAATGTCAAGATGATGCAAAACAACATATCAGATTGAGTTGTATCATCTACAGGAACAACCTACAATTAACTCCACCTCCTGTTCCATTTTCAGTTTATAACAGCAATCTTTACACAAGCCGCTTCCTAGAGTTTAATGACTGACTAGGATTCCAAACCAAGATGTATCTTGGACAACATTGCTGAGCCAGTCATTAATCAATTCAGAATGCAGCCATTGGATTGTTATAGCTTGTAGTTAGTAAGCCTAGACAGCACCATGCCATGCCTCCTTCACATGTCTCCACCACCTTGCCAGCAAAATATTTTAGCCCTGTCCTTCTTACCATGGTTTATGACCTGCCAATCTGAGCAAAAGATCGTGCAAAAACGCAGGCATTGTATGGCTGACTGCAGTCCAATATTGATATAAGAGGCGGTTGGACTGAAAAGTTATATTAGGGTGCCTTACTGCACTTTCTAATGGATTTATCTGGAAACTCAAATTAATGTGGTGTCCTGTGGGAAAAAATAGCGATCAACATATTTAACTGTTTATTATTCAAGAATAAACATCACTTTCTAGATCTTGTAATTTAGTCTACCTTGACTATTCAAACCCCCAAACTACCCAACAAAGACATCCTCAATTTTGCTAGAAATCTCAGTCACTTTGAATTCAAGGACCTGTTCTCAGGAAAAAAAAAAAGACAAGTTTTAGTCACAAAGCATTCAGGGGAAGAAAAAAGAATTTACAAATCATCAATATGCATCATAGTGTACGCATAGCTTTGTTTAGAAGTCAGAGGAACAGACAAGACAGAGCTAGTCACCATTACCTTGGGCTTCTTCCAGTAATCCTGAGGTAGATATCATACAGGAATGCTGGGACCTTATGGCTTACAGCAATCCAATAATGATATAAAAGGTGATTGGAAGTTAGATTTACATTGGGCCGTCTGAAGGCCTGTTCGAGAGGATTCCTCTTGAAAGTAGAAATTACATGGTATTCTGAGAAAGAAAAGTTGCGTAACAGCTTTGATAATAACCATGTAAAGTGTAATGGTTTTCAAAGTACATTACAGTGTACAATATTTATGTCAGTATGTCATGTAAATAACTACCCTAACTTCTCTACGATTCTCAGAAACTAAAACAAAGTCATAAGCCTAATTTGAAAGACTGTTGTACTGGCTCTTATTATAATCAAGAGGTCTTGTATGTCTTCATCTTCAGTATCATATTTTCTTGTAGCTTCTCTCTCTCTGTTCCTCTTCCCTACCTTAGAGGCTGTTTCCAAAACTTTACAGCAGTTTCAGTTTATATAGCATGTAAAGCTTTTTAAATAGTCATTTACATTCACAAAAGCAGCTATTCTGATCTCTTGTGGGAAGAATAATTAAAAACCAGACTGAGGACTTCACAAGTGTCTGAAGTGCATTTCAAATGACATTTTAAGACAACTTATCCATATTTAACCATTGAGAAAAAGGCAATTAACATGGGACACCATGTGAAACTCCTGCCGACACCTGAAAATTCTTTACATGACAGATACGCAGGATCAGTACCTTAAGAAGTTCTGATGAAATTCACCTCTTGTAACATCAAGCTGTTGTTTACAGACTGTGTTTAAACACCCCAATTCAAACTGGGATATAAATTAAGTCAGCAATTTTCCAAGTTTGGCTGAAGCAACGGTTATAAACAAACACATGTAAAATAGGCAAAAGCAAGCAAAAAACCATGAAGAAAATAGTAGAGAGAAGTAAAATAGATTTAAGTATTAAAGAAAAAAAAAAATAATCTGAGCTTAGGAATTCTATTTCTAAAAAACTGAAAGCAAATAAACAGGTTTACCTTGCCAGCCAGCTTGTATTGCTATTTATAACAAAAACTATCCCAAAGCTTTTGGCACGTGGGTTACATTCTAGTCAGCATATCCAAGAGTTGAAAATAGGTGACCATTCTTTCTTAAAGATTACTTTTCCATGTACATAATTGAAGTCTCATGTAGCTAACTGCAGATTAAATTAACTTAAGCCAAACACAAAATACTACACAAGTGCAAAACTATTCTTCCCATACCTCTCAATCATGCAGATACACAGAACATGTGATTGTGGGCTGTTTATCCATACGCATTTGTTAAGGTCGACATTAAAGCCAACATCACTACTGCTCCTGAGCAAAGCTTTTCTCTGCTCACTATCTGCAATCTGTGGATTATGTCATGGCACCAAGCAAAAAAAATCAGTGATCCCATAGTTTAAATTATAAAAGAACAAAAAAAAAACCAAACAAACAAAAAACAAAAAAACCAAAAAACCCCCAAACAAATAAAAAAAACCCACAAAAGCCCCACAACCTACACAAAACCACCAAAACAAAAACCCAACCAAAAATCAAAAACCACCAAAAAAAAAAAACCTCAAACAATCAAAAAATACAATCACACACACAACCAAGAACAAGATGAAACAGTGGTAACGCTGCAAGGGAAGAGAATTAACAGTGGAAGATAATGAAAAAGCACAGTACACTGCAAAATTGAGAGGTATACCTATTATACCAATTTCAGTAATAAAACTGCAGTATCACCTACTGATTATAGCCTGTGCTTGTGTTATTCAACCTTATTTTTCTGTTAAAGCTTATGAAAAAAGAAACGTAGCATACCAATTTCACCCCAGTGGAAAGGATTGGTGCCACCTGTTGTGCAGTTATATACCATGACATTTCTTGGTCTGCGGGGAAAGAAAACAAAAGAAGTTAAAAGACAACCTACCCTTTAAAAAAAGAGATAAGACATGACTTATCCCTTACCAGTGTTATCCTTTCCCTCAGCAGTATCATTTACATAAAGCAGAAAGCTCCTGTCATGTTGGGGTTTTTGCTTTCTGTATCATCTTCCAGTATGGCAGTCAGGTGAAGTTCCAGACGACTGGAAGAAGGGAAATGAAACCCCCATTTTCAAGAAGGAGAAGGTGGAAGACCCAGGAAACTACAGACCAGTCAGTGTCACCTCTGTGCCTGGCAAAATCTTGGAGCAGATTCTCCTGGAAAGAATGCTGAGGCACATGAAAAACAGCGAGGTGGTTGGTGACAGCCAACATGGCTTCACTAAGGGGAAATCCTGCCTGACCAATTTGGTGGCCTTCTATGATGGGGCTATGGAACTGATGGACAGAGGCAGAGCAGTTGATGTCAGCTACCTGGACTCGTGCAAAGCGTTCAACGCTGTCCCACACAACCTCCTTGTCTCTAA